CCCTCCATATGGGAAGCTGCAAGAGGAGGGCAATACAGAGTTGGCAAAGCTAGTAGTACATTATCTAAAGGAGCCCCTACTTTAAATATACAATCTGGTGTAAGATCTGCTGCTCTTACATTTTCCTTTACATCAGGAGTCACAAAACAATGAAGTGTTACCGCTCCTACTTCACAACTTATGCCCCAGTTTACCATGAGGTCAGAATCAGATTGGGGGGTAGGTGCCCTGAGTTGCCCTGAAGTATAAAATAACTAACTTGTGGAAGGCAAGAGTGCACTTTTGTCTGGAAAACACTATATTTCACCCTTGAGTTACTAGTATGCAAATCATGCATAAATTGCCAATGAATCTCAATGACTCAAACTCTTGCTCCTTTTTTTTTGTTGCAAACTTTCAAAAAATCTACTTTTGTCATGACTTTTCCCCTTATTCAGGCTAGTTGCCAAGTAATTTAATGGGACCGTGTTATGACTGTGCTAAAGGCAGATGAGAGAATTTTTTTGTACAAACGGCAAGTTGAGTATTTTCCCTTCCGTATATCTTGGGTTTTGCCTTTTATTGAAAAGTTTCATTTTAGAACCAGACTGCTGCAGCCTCATTCGATTCTAGCATTAATAGGGGAGCTTTCTGTGCAAGACATTGTAAGACATCAGAAGCTTAAAAGGAATGACCTGGGGAAAAAAACCCGCTTCTATGGCACATAATCCTACCCCACACTTTTCAGACCTTTTCTTTTCAAACCAAATCTGATCCTTTTTCAGACCTTATTCACAAAGGCAGATACTCACATTCCACGCTATCTGAGAAATGCATTCTGCCTCCATGCCTGTATTCTAATTAGGGGCCCAGATCCATCGCTGCTGTGAATGAAGCTATACTGATTTACATCTAGTGAATATCTGGCCAAGTCTATGTATTACTGATTGACACTGAGTTTCTGTCTCTCAAACCTCCAAGACTCCTTTCTTGTACTTCATCCCAATACTTCAGAATCAAGATCATAGCAGACTGTCCGGGTCTTACCAAATTCACTTGTAGCCTCCAAGGCTAAGTGGCAAAAAATGAAAACCTTAACTTTCCCTCTTGCAAATATTTATGTATGTCTTCTCAAACAGGGGGCTGTGCTCCCACAGATCAACCATCAAGGGTTATGCAGGCGTGCTTTTCAGTGTAGATGTTCAGTGACTGTGATTTGATATGCTGTAGGTACATCTACGCATGAAATTAATGGAGCACAATAAACTCCAGCCCATATTGCACCAGAGTTTACTGCTCCTGGGCACTGTGTTTGCATGTGTGCCCAGAACTGCATCATGTTAAGGCAGGTTAGAGCAGCCCCAGCTGGCAGAGGACCTGGGGGATCAGCCTGCCAGCCCAGGGCTGCTCCGACCCAGCTCAACATGCTGCAGAGGGGCTAGCTGGGGCACAAGGGTGATCCCATGCAGGGATAGCCGGCAGGTAGCCCACATTGAAGCACCCTCATACCCTAGCCAGCCTGGTCAGCATCTACCCATGCATTGCTATGCATGAAAAAACTCTGCAGCAGGATAGTACTTGCATTTACAAGGACTAACATGCTGCAAAGTTTATTAGTTTCCTGTGGCCTAATACTGCTGCATGTGTAGCTGCATGTGTAATAGAGCTGCATGTGTAGACGCTGAACCCTTTAGTGAGGAACTAATTAGACAACTCCACAGTAAGCATCTCATGTAGATGCACCCTCTGAGGGTGCAACAAGTTGCAGCGAAACCCTTAAGGTAAATTTTGAAGCATGGTGATTTATGATAAGACTCATTCAGGGAAATCCCTTTATTGTCATTGAGAGTTGACAATCAGTTCTTGCCTAGGTGTGATGATAGGCGCATTTCCCCATTAACTTATTTGGCCTTCCATAGGTAATGCGTCTTTTTCAAGCTTTTTTATGCTATCAGGAAGTTGTGTTTCTAAAATAAAAAATTTAAGTTTCCAAACTTGTACACAAAGTTTAATTCTTCTAAAATATTTCACACTGCCCCCCCCCCGCAAAAGCAATTCCTGTATTCTGCCTCTGACCTAACCGTATCACAGGCTGAATGTCATTCTTGTCTAACAGTGCTCTAAGCCTAAGTGAAAACAATTAAAAATGGGTATTTATGTACAATTAACTCATGTTACATGTTTCTTCATGCCTGCTACCATCATTAACACTGAAATCAGGTATTCCCACTAGAGGCAGCCTTTCCATCTTGTGCCAGTGTGTTACTGGCATGCTGTGGATGCAGCCCTAACAAAACAGTCTGTAGGGTAATTCTGAATTTTACACTGACTGACTCACTCTCAGCAACCCAAACCAAAAGTTGAGTCCAAATTCCACTATCTTTCTTTTCAAGACTGAAAACACCATCTAAAATTAGCTGGATGCCCTTAGATTTTGCAAATTGATCATTATTTTGTGAGTTTCTGGAGTGCATTTTAAATCACAAACTCTTTATGGGAATACATCTCACAAAATGGAAGAAGAGTGAGGGTTGATTTACTCCCTTGTAAAAATTGCAAATAAACACTTAGTGCCTGACTGGGTGTTCCATCTTTTAGGTTAAGATAATGAAATACTGTGTGAAAAATTGTATTTGCCTATATTAGTAATACATTACATTTCTTCAGACCTTGCATGCTCCTGAAGACACTGAAGGCTAACCTATAAAAGATTATGAATCATATTAAATAATGTCTCAGTAAGATTTTAACTGCATCTCTAGATTTCTAACACGTAAAGAAAAATGGTACCTAGGGCCTTTGACAAAATTATGGGACTGGGCCAACTATCACACGCAAATATAAGAGAGTAGAGAGAGCAGAGAGATTCTTTATCCCTGTCTTTCTACCTAACTACTTAAGGCCATCTACTAATGTCAGATATTTATAAGGCATCTGTCACCATAGCATTTCGTCTCCTTTTCCCTGTTAACTTCAGGAGTATTCTTTTCATATGGTAGATTTGGCCTAGGCAAGAACCAGAGGTGGCAGCTTCAGAAACAAGAGCGGAAATGCAGAAGTGTACTTGTAGTGGTGCAGAGAGACAGTTATCAGGGCTGACGACCGTGCGATGGTGAAAGCTCTTGACACTCCTCACATGACCTTTTTCTCTGCTAAACAGAAGCTGGAACATTAATGATCTCTAATGGTGATAACCATGGATCCAATATGACACCTCTTCCTCACTGGCGCGTCCAGGCAGGCAGTCAATCAGACTGCTTGTGCTTGACTGGTCCCAGGGGCAAGTGTTGCAAGGTTAGACTCCACACCCTTTTTACATGACTGCTATTGGAACCAGATCCTGCAAAGCATTATTCCCGTGTGCAAAAGAGTTCACTAGATCTGACCCTTTTTTTTTTCCAAAGAGATCACTCCCCTTTCTCCTATAATAATATGTCTAGTTCATTTAGAAGGCAACTGCTTAAGAAGATATAAGATTCTTGTCACCTCCAAATCAGAGTATGTACTCTGAGAAATTCTGAAAAGAATACTTGAACACTTGACTAGTTTTTCAAATTAAAAAATAATGGGATGCCTGGCAGCCATCCTACCCCCGTTTACTGACAACCTGGGCTTTTATTGCACCTATGTTACTGATCAGAGATACAGCTGCACAATACTCATGTCTCACAACTTCTCATAAGCTGACGGCTGAGCTGCTGAAATTGGATTTCTATGACTAATATCTTTGGGGTTATGCTAATGACTTCAGAAATGTTGCAAACGGCATTGGACATTTACAAACTCAGCCTAAGATTAATCCTGAATAATTTGTGCAAGACAGTTATCAAGTTTACTGTTATGAGAAACACAGAAGCCTTAGTGGACCTTTCACAACTACTTCCTTCTGCTTTTATTATTAATCCTTCCTCTGAGCACTGCTTCTCTACATGGAGTTATAGCATTTTAAGGTGCAGCTTGCCACATTTGAGGAGAGAAAGCATTTGATTGATTACCCACCTCGTTTTAACCAGACTGGTTACAGAGGACTTAACACAAGAAACCAAACATGATGCCATCTCCTCTTGGGAACCACAGGTCCAAATAAGCTAACAGAGAAGAGGCAGGAGCCTTTACTTTTGAAAAAAGAGACCCTCCCCTTTTTGTCCCTACCACGATGACATCCTTTGTGCACCCCGCGAGTTCTAGTCCTTTGGAGTTTTGCTACTATATGTTAAAAGTGAGGGATGACATCAGTTTATCTTTCAGAGTGAGATGAGTATGAATTTTGGATCTGGAACCATACAAGCTGTACATAGTTATTATCCAAAGCATTTCAGTTGCATTCATTTCTGCACGCTCTAGTATTCAGCACTTTCAAAGCCTATCCCAGATAAACAAGTACAGATTGGCAATTTAGGAGTTGAAAAAGGCTGCTGTAAAGAAAAAAAAACACAAGGTTTGGAGAGCAAAAGCATTAAACATATACATGTGCTCTTAACTTCCCTCATCAGTTACCCCCAAATTTTAAGGTTATGGGATAGCATGACTTTTCCTCGGGGATTTAAAATGGAAGCTTTGCTCTCTCTTGTACATACAAAATGGTGGTCATGGATGGAGAGGAGGATAAGCCTTTTGGTTCTCCTGTTCTTCTTTCTAATATAGTAAATTGGGTGCATCAGTCCTTGATTTAGAAAGCCTAGATTTCACAGTGAAAAAGAAGTTCTTAGTTTCTAATGAACTGTCATTTATAAAAATGGGGGAAAAAATCTGAGTCTGAGGATTTTTTTTATAGTAGTAGAAAGACTGGAAGTGCCCCCTGCCTCCTTTCTAGGAAGCACATACCATTCATATTTTAGATAAAAGCTCTAATTGAATCTGAATACTGACTGAGGCCTCCCTTCCTCTGAGGTTGCAATGGAAGATGACGACTTATAATGAATCTTTCTTTTTTGAACCCTGAATTACTGACCAACACTCTTTCATATGTAAAACATAAAGAACCACATTCAGCCTCAGGAAGAGGTTTTATGTCAAGTTACCTTAAATTCTGTTTCAATGTTGGCTAGCCTTGCTAATTCATTGCTTAGCTCCAAAGCCGTTAGAACAGGGTCTTCACTGGAAAGAGACAAATAAGCGGCACTTGCTAATCCTTTGTAGGCATTCATTCTTGATCGAGAGTGACTAAAAGAATCTTTCCTCTGTTTTTCCACACATTCGTTGCATTTGCAGAAGTAATCATGGGGCCTTTCTATCCGTGCGCCCTTCAGGAGCAAAATGTGAACAATTTCATACTCCTGGCAATGGGCAGCGAGTATTATGGGGGTGATGTCATGGGAAAATCGAGTTCCGTCTTCATCGTAAGCATAAAAATCGTCATCGCGTAGTTCCTGTTCGAGAGGACTAAGTGTCAGGCGTTGCCCTTGTGCAAAGGCCGGGTGGTTCAATATTGCTTCCACAATGCGGACATATCCCTTACTGATGGCTAACAACAGCGCATCCCCAACGCGTGCCAGATTCTCCTTTTTCAGAAGGAGTTCAGTTACCTCCAAATGCTCGTTCCCCACTGCTAACTGCAGGGCATTTTGTCCCATATAATCAACGCAATTAAAGTTCAAAGTTTTGGATTCCTCCAGCATTTTCCGCACAACCGGGATATTGCCATATTCCGCAGAATCCAAAAAGCGCTCTTCCTCAGTGGTCAGGCTGGTGCCCTTCTCATTGAACATATAGGCTGGGCCCCGGATAGCCTGCCTCCGGCCCTTCTCCCGAAGGGTTGTGTGCCTTCGATTCATGTTTTCAGAACTGCTGTTTCTCAACCTGTGCAAAGACAGCAAGGAAGCTCCATTACTTTCTCAATGACTTTGTTTTAGATCTCCTATAATCTCATATAAGGTAGGAAGCGTTCTATTAATTTAAGCTCTTGCATTTATTCTGCCATAATACAGTTAGGACACATTCTGGATGATATAAATTGGCTTACTGAGCAATAGCCAAATACTTTCTTGACTTCTAACCTTGGGGATTTCATCTATGATACCCAACATGCAAGTCACTATGGGATTCTCCAATAGTAAAACAAGACCTAGCTGAAAAATACACAGCATCTGAATTCTACTTTCAACGAAATTTCACTTTGCAATGACAGCTGAATGATTTCCACCACTCCCAACACAGTTGAACCATTTGGATTTCATACTGCAGCCCTTCTTTTAGTCATTACAGACCCAACCCAACACAAATTGAAGTCAACACAAGTCTATCTGTTCCAATGGGTTTTACATCAGGCTCTGAGTCAGCAGGATATTTAAGCTCGTACCTAATTTTAATCATTTAGGTATAGTTCCAATGGGGTTAAAGTGAGGCATGTGGTAATATCTACTGAATCTTGGCCTTGGCAGCAACAGATGGAAATTGCCAGTGCAATCAGCTATAGCTTTGGTACGTTAAAACTTCAGAAAATTACAGTGGATCCTCTTGACAGAAACCACATTTTCAAGACAGTTTACTGCTATTTTCTGTCCCACCAGAGGAGAGACAGAAATCCTATGCACATCATAGACTATGCCACTGAAACATTTGATTTATGGACTATTGCGTGCCAAAGACCCCCTCTTTGTAGAATGCAATTATTGTTTAACTATCATTATTCTGCATGTGATAAGACTTCAAATGTTTCCAAATGTTTATGTCTTGATAACAGAAGCTCCAGAAAACTGCAATATTCCATTTTAGTGGAAGGTTGTTGCTCATTCAGGGGGAACTTCTTCACTTAGAAAGTATCCTGTTTCTTATAAAGCAGGTAAAAAGACAGAGAAAGAGAGAGAGCAATTCCCCCCCGTCTTTCCATATCAAGTGGCAATAGAATACTCCCATGTGCAGAGAAAGCTTTGCTATATATAGGCCAAGACTGAGCATATTGTCTGTTCTGCTAAATCCTACCTGATACAAAGAAACAAACAAACAGGCATCCATTCGGTTCCCTCTTTCATGTTATTTAGAGCAGCTCTTCTGTTTCCTGACCCAGAACAATTTAAGGAGTAAGTGCCTCATTTTCTTGCTCAAATTCTGTTGCCAGGTGTCTAAAGGTAGGTGCCTAAAATTAGATGCCTCTCCTAAAAACCTAGGTCATACCTTCTGATTTGGTGTTGTGTCACACTCCAATTAGCAGCTTTTCTGAAAGCTAGAGGGAATATCAGGCGACAGAGATACATGCAACATAGAGCAGAGAGCAAAGGAGCAAGATGATCAAAAGTCAGATCCATACCCACCCAGATACCTCACAGCTTGTCAATGGGAAAACTACTCTGTTAGTCTAACACGGTGATGGGGCAGAGACATTCCTGTCTTTACCTCATTGCCTCTTTCTCTTACAGAGACTTGTCAAAAGGATCTCTCTCTCCTGAGTCCGAGTACTTAATGCTCTACCGGTCTATGATTTCTTAACTCATCCTAGGAGATTTGGACACCCAAGTCCCATTACTATGACTAGAATCATTGTGCTTATTAATGAAACCCATAAAGGGCTGTGTGTTTATCAGAGTTTGTACCCAATAAGCACCCTTCAAGTTGTATTATTTATATTGCAATAGCACAGCAACCAAATCACAGCTCCATTAGCACCAGTGCTTTCCCTGTACCTATACTTTAGTGACTTGGGAGCAGAGGTTCTGCTGTCAGCAGTGACTAAGGGCTTTATACACCACTAAAAGTCTTAAGTTCTCAGGTGCTTTTGAAAATGTTACCTGAGACATAACAGGCAGCAATAAAAAATTAGCAGGTGGTGCTGCTCTGTGGGCAGCACAGGGTTTCTCTCCATGTGCTCCATCTGCTCCCCATTTTGATATTGACCTTCAGTCTAGGAAAAGTAGATGCATCACTGCAGAAATACCACTGCAATGTGGGCTTGAAAGAACGCTAGAGATTGGCACCAAAAGGACAAAGGAGATCAGATAGTATGCATTAATGAACACAACACCATTGGCTTCTTTTTTCATCAATACAAATGCAATATGAAGCCGTACCCACTCACTTCCCTTGCCCCCAGACTTGGGCATGGAGCAAAATGAAATGGCCCCAATTTTAGAAATGTTGCTTGAGAAGACAGTTTGGTCCAAAGATCCACATATATGAACATAGTAACTACTTGCAAGTATAAGTAGCTCACCAAAAGGTTGATCTATCATGTTGGGTTTCCCCCTCCCCGCCCCCTACAGTGAACACAGATTTCTCGCTTCATTCTAGCATCAACAGCAAGAGTAACAAGAGGCTGAAAGATGCTGTTCACCTGAACCTGCCCACCAAAGTGTGACTAATGTAAAAATGTAAGCACTTATGAATGTTCTATAGGAGAAGGAGCAGAGCAAACTAAATGTAATCTCTACTCTGTGCCGGGGAGAGGGGGAGTGCAAGAGCATCACAGCTTATAGAAAGATGCCCCTGTGATGAATGACAGCCCCTAGCCTTGGTCATGACAAGGGAAAATCAATATCTCAGCCACACCATTTTGTCTTCTTTTAAAGAGAGAAGAAGATGCAGAAAACTCTAACCTTAACTTTGACTATTTCCATAAGAAATATTCAGTTATTGATTCACGTTCTCAAAACTGTGCTTGGCCCTAGTATTGAGTTATAACAAAACAGTGACAATGCGGAGGATTGTGGATACTCAGGCATACTCGTGTGTCACGATTCTGCTTGATACTGTACTGTACTCTACTTGTACAGGCAGTCTCAGCACTAATCATATGTACTGAGAGTGTCTAATGCACTCTCCTAAAAAATGTAATTGTAACTTGATTGCACTTATCTTAACATTTTTGTTTAAAGGTGCTTTGCATTTAAATGACTATGCATTTGCATATTTTATTGAGACAGCTAGTGATCAAACTCATCAGGCATCGTAATTAAAATATTGTGCTTTTCTAGGAAAGAATGTCAAGGCCTGCAATGTCATCGGGAAGAAGTGTTTTGGTAAAAGGCAAAACCATGGGCCATAGCCTGACCTCAGGGGACTCTCTCCTGAGTATAGATCCACTGTTGTGAACTTCTGCATACCCACTTCTAGTGACGTTCTCAGGAATGAACATGCTAACTAGAGGCAGTGTCACAGGACATGTGCTCGCAGCACTTCACAGAACATGTTCCTAAAGCATGACAGAGTCTCATTCTCTATGGTGAGATAAGGGTGCTTACCTAGGATAAAAACCTCAAGTGAACTGGGTTAGCTTGCCTGCGTGCTTGGTTTACAATACTAGAATAGAATCCCCTCCCACAAACCAGTTGCCTAAGCTTGCAAACCAGGGCCCTACCCACAACCCACCTCCTGGTTGCTGCCTAAATCCCATTTTCAGAAGTAGCTTAGAGCCAATGTTTTTAAAGGAACATAGATACTCAAAGATGGGGACGTATGCTTACTTGGATTTACAAAAGCTCATAGGTACTTAACCTGATAGGCTGCACTGGCATGCTAGATTCATGTTTGGTCCATGTTATTAGCTCTCACGGGGCATTTATTTACAAGTCACTTAGGAGAAAAAAGGTTTTTTAAAAGGTATTTCACTTCCAAGCAAGGGAGCAAACATTTTTCAAACATCAGCTTAACTTAGATAAAAGCTTTAATGGAGTCATATTCAGTTACTTTCTATTTATAGCCCTAGTATCATTTGGATGGTCAATCTTAGGGCTTTTTTACATGTGTTTCTGAGGCAGTGCCAGGTACTTTTATTTACTGAGTGGCACTAATTAAAAGCCCCTGTGTGTCATGTGTATCAGCGGGACAGTGCACCTCCACACTAAGAAAATGGCAGGGGTACACTTTGAGCTGAAGCACATCATCCGTGTTTTAGTCCAAAGTGTGTCACCGCTGTTTTCTCAGCATGGAGATGCACTGCGCTGCAGATACACGTGACACATGAGGCTGCCAGAGCACATCAATTTACATGCTCCAGCATACTCAGTTAACTGAGTCTGCTTTGTCACACTGGACTTCCAGCGTGTCAGAGCAGGCTCCTTGCACATGTATAAGTGCCCTTAAGTCGCAGTATTTTTAAATATATAAACAATGCTATACTTGAAGTCAGACTAGGCAATCCAGCCTCAAATGTAGTCTGCGGGTTCAGCTAAGTGTTATAGAGTTACATGGATGACAAAATACACTGGATAATAATCTGAGCACTGGTTTTGCATGCCTAGAGCACTGCTTAATTCTTATAGCAGTCCTGTGAAATAATTGTGGCAAGAGGTATTCCCTCTCAGGCTCGAGGTAAAGGAACATGATTGCTCCAGGTCAGCGCGGCTGCTTCCCATTTTTGGGTGTGATCAGCATGGCTGAGCTGTGTGTTTGGAAAAGGCATTGCCAACATAATTCTGCATCCTAGCATCTCCAGTAACTTGATAGCAAATGCAAACTACATGGCAGGGGTGCATTTACACATGCTATTAAGGCAACTTAACAAACTTAGAGTTTATTGCTCCTGGGCACAGTGTTTGCGCATGTGCCTGGGGCTACAGCAAATTGAGCTGAGGCAGATCATCTGCAGCTGGCAGGGGGTCCTGGGAGTCAGCCTGCTAGCCTGGGGCTACTCCAACCCAGCTCAATCTGCTGCAGAGGTGCTGGCTGGGGTACAAGAGTGCTCCAGTGCAGGGCTAGCTGGCAGGCAGTGCCCACACTGAAACACCCAGGTGCCGCAGCCATCCCTGTCAATGTCTACACATGCATTTTAGTGTAGCAAATAACTCCACCATAGGATGGTATCTGTGTCTGGCAGTGCTATCCTATGGCAGAGTTAATTAGTTTA